GTGGACAAGTAAAGGAAGCAAGGTTTCTGGGAACATTAATATTGACCTAGGGCAAACAAAAGCTAGATGTGATATAATAATATTTGACCATTGCCTCTGATTGTTAGCTAGAGGGTGGATGAAATTAACACCAGATTTTCAATGACTTTGATGAATTTGCTTCCGGAGATAAAATCAAACATGTAATCTTTAGACTGCCTTGAGACAATTGTCAAAGTGAGCGAGCTACAGGCTCATAGACAAGAGAAGGTTGACTTTATTGTAGGAGTTAGAAAGGAGACCTGTAACATTATGCTACGTGGCTGGATTCTGGTGGCCTGTTTAGATTGTTTCCAGCTTGGAAAATTTTGGGCCTCTTATTCAAACACACCTGTAGAGCACAGCGGTAAAGCAGAAAACAACATGATAAAATATTATGTCGAGGAGAAGGAGCTCATGAGGCTTTGATAAATTAGAAAGGTGGTAAAAAAATAAGTCTATATATATATATATATATATTATTGGTACGTGTTGATGGATGTTATTATTATTATTATTATTATTGGTACGTGTTGATGGACGGCAGGGGCATGGAAAGTTAGTATTCAATACATAAATATATATTGTCAAAAAACTTTTATATTTTAGCAAAAAATTATTTCATTTGAAAAAACTTAAATTATTAAATATAATATATATTATTAAATGAAGAGTTAAAGTTCTATATTCGATGGGTTTATTTTTCTTGGCCAAAAGAGGATTGTGTTGAAATGCTGATAGCAGCTAACGTAGGAAGGCGTCTGTTAATGGGCAAATGATTTTCAAATAATGATAGAAACGAGCAATGCAATAGTGGAAAGTTTTCTTCTATCTTGTCTAACTACTCTACCTTCCAATTATTCTCACTTTGGACTTGTACAAAAATAAAGTCAACCTCTTAGCACTATTATCATTTCTCTCTATGATCCAATTTAAATTGATTCACCTTTTTTCGTAGGCATTCACACCATTAACAATTTGATATGTTCATAACTAAAGAGCCTGTTTTGGTAACGTATATATCCTTCACGCTTTCAGATCTTTCTTTGACATTTTTCATTTTAATGGTGTTTGTAATTAAGTGCGAGGATTTCTTCACTTGGGAGCTAGATGTGAAGATGGAAGCATAAATGAGAACACCAAAATCAGAATCCTAAGAAAATAAAATAAAACAAAATAAGCATAAAATCTAAAATTAACACATAATTCAATGAAATCAATGAAAGATGACAAACTTGTTCAACCTTGTTCAAACAACATATTCCAAATACAACATATTCCAAATCTAATTTGAGGGTTTTTCTAGAGGAGGATGGTGTATGTATGGCAACCTTGCTATAGAATTAGACCTATTATGGGGTGCGGGGCCTTGAGCGATGGCAGATCTATCTCCTGAGAGGTCTGGAAAGGAAAGAGAAATTGAGGATAATTATAAAATTATGATTATTAGTTCAGGATTCGACACTTGATAGTATAATTAATAGAAACTTTATAGTTTGTGAGAGTCCGAGTAAGGGATTAGTCGTGTAAGGAAAAAACACATCAACCCTAGTACACTCTATTTAAGGTAAGCTGTATTGTTATTAGATCGTTATTTAAGTCGCAATTATGTTCATTAATCTTGTTTAAGGTTTAAAGCGGATCTTTCTTCGTGAGGAAATCTCTACTTTATCAAGTTAAATCCTAATTATTATAAGATCTAGATTTTAGCATTGCATTTATTTCTTTGTATTTTTTATACCTGATAATATGCTTTATAGTATAGTTTTACACTCCTCAAATATTAAAGTCTACAATTAAATCCTAACACTTTAAATATAAAGTAAAAAAAATTATTAGTCATGGGTTTTTGATATTTTCACTAAATCCTAATGAATAGTCATACACCTAGTTACGATATTTATTTTGTATTTAAAACATGAAAAAGATGCATTTTTATTTTTATATATATAAAAATATGCTTGAAAATTTTTTAGGATTTTATGTATGCATGAAAAGAAAATATTTTTTAAAAGAGAACATTAATTTAATAATTTAAAAAAAAATAAGAAAAGTTTCGGGAAAAAACCAGGCATTTTAATATCATATTTGTATCTTATAGTGTAAATATACAGACTCATATTATGTAAAATTAATAGAAAAACATGTGATAAAATCACAAATTTTTTTAAAGACTTTGAAAAAAAATTTATTTTTTTAATTATATAATATTATATTATTATTATATAAGCTAAGCCTGACTCGATCATGTGGGTCAGACTGAGCCAAATCAAGTTAGGCTGACTGGAAGCCTAATTGACCTGACCTCTCTCTCTCTCTTTCTCTCTCTTTTTATCTAGGCCAAGTTGGGCCAAGTCATGTAGGCAAGGGCTTAGATCGTAAGCTTAATTTAGTTGGGAGGCTGAGGCCTAATAACACTCTTATGATGGACCCGAGCTATAAAGCTGGGTTGAGCCCAATCCAGGCATGTATGGTCACTAGCCTAGCCTAGTGATCAAAGGGTTAATTATTTGGCCATTGCATGTAGTTGAAGAAGGAGGAAAAAAAGGAGTAGGAGGCTCGCCCGACCAAATAAGAAAAGCTATTGATGATGATGTTCTTGGTGGGGTTAGGAAGTTCGGCGTGTGGTTGGTGGCGATAATTGTGGCTGGGGCATGGTAAAGAAAATGGCAAAAAGTTAGAAGAAAAGAAAAACATAAACCAAGGCAAAGGGTTGTAAGTTAGAAGAAAAGAAAAACATAAACCAGGGCAAATGGTTGTTTTTTTTTTTTTTTGCCAACTTTGGATCTTGATTTCTTCATACTCAGAGCATGGAATCCTCTCTTATTTATAATGGGTAGAAGAGAGATATTTTGTCTTTATTGATGCAAAATATTGGCCTTTGATTTGAACCTGAAGGAACCTAACTCCTAGTTTAAAGTTTTCATCATGAATTGTCAGATTTTGACAACTTAAAGCTGTTTGAATTGATATTTTTAGCGCAGCGCCGAGGCTGCTATGGTGTCATTTAGCCAAAAAAAACTATATCGATGTATGGTCAAGTGTCGGGCCATTATATTGGTATATGGCTTGTCTGATTTGGTTAAGGGACAAAGTATGAAATGCTTTGAAAATATGGTCACTCGAGTAGCTTTCAAATGAAAAAATGATGAAGAAGATGTATAATACCAGACGATGCGTTATTTGATTTGTTCTTCTTTTTTTTTTTTACTTTTTGGATAAAAAAAATTATTTTGTTTAAAACACACTATTTTATTGAAATGAAATTAGATTGTTTTGACTTTTAAGGTTTTAATGTAGGGATTTGAACAAAGTTCAATTTGATTCTCGAGCTTTAATTTCTTTACATTGCATCTCTAATTGACTTTAAATTTTTAATTTTATGCAATTTTATCCCTGTTGAACTTCCATATCAGCTTCGAATTCTAGTACTTTTTTCATATTAATCATTGGTCTTTGATTTATACAAATTGACTCTCAATTGACTATTAAACTTTTAATTTTTAATTTTAATCCTAATTTCAATCAATTAGGTTTTCAAAGTTTGAAGCCTTTTCCAAAAAGGTCTTTGGATGCGATTTTTTTATTTGATCTCTAATTGACCCTAAACTTTTATTTTTTTTTAATTTTACCCTTGATTTGAATCAATTGACATGGTAAAAATAAAATTCGGTCTCCTAAAATTTTAATTTTATCAATTGAGCCTAAATTAGGTTTCAAAACTTAATTTTTCATTAGTTAAGCCTATAATAAAATTAATTTGAACCATTTAAAATATAATTAAGTCCTTGCATCTAATTAAATTGGACTCAAATTAGTTTTTAAACATAATTAAACTTTAGTGTGACTCATAATTAAATTAAATTGGTCTATTAAAAATCTAATTATGTCATTGGGTTTAATTTTTATATTGATTCGTCCAATAATGATTAAATTTAACCTTAAATTTATATTATTTCTCTAATTTTGGGTACAACAAGGTATAATTGGGCTTTCAATTCCATCCAAAATTATAGTTTGATTTTTCTATGTATTCAGAATCCTTTTAAGCCTGTTTTGCCAAAATACGAGTCTTTTTACTAGTATTGTTTTTTATTTTAAAAGAAAAAATAGTAAAATTTTGAGGAATAACTCAAAAATGGATTATAACTAGACCCTGGAATCATTTAAAAAACATTAAATCCAATCTAATAGTTGAATTGAAAATTATAACTTTTTATTATCAAATTATTGGTGTGGTACAACTAAACCTTATCTTTAGCTTAGCTTTGTCTATGAATGTGTTTATTAAGCTATTTATAATTTGTATTTTTTATATTTAAAAAACATTTTTAAAAAAATATAATTTTTTTATTTTTTGCTTTAAATTAAACTTTTTATGTTTTCAAATTATTTTAATATACTAATATTAAAAATATTTTTTTTAAAGAAAAAAATATTATTTTAATATATTTTTAAGTAAAACAATACTTTTAAAAAGAAATACAGTCATATTTACAAACATTAAGATTCATAATTCAGTGATGATAGACCTATTAAAGATTTCTATCTAACTATTCAATACCTTCAACTTCTTTCTTCTCATCTACCTTAAAATCTCACTTTTATCGTAAATCGTCTTTAAATAAGAACACATTCATGAGAAAAATCCTAATTACTCTTTCACAATGGATCAATTTTCACTTGTCGGGTTTTAATCACCATATCCATAAATTAATTAATACAGTGTCTCTCCTTTAACTCGAATGTTGCTTACGTTCTACAATTTTTCGGCCGTGGCACGTGTCATCGTGTGTAATTACATGATTGTTGTATACACATTATACACATGTATTACTGTATTATTAACATAGAAGAGAGAGATACGTGGCCTGAGGCCGGTACCAAATCTTTTTGACTTGAAATCTCTCTCCCCTTCATAGCCGTCCACTATTTATATATATATATGAAGGGTCATCTTCTTCTTATCAGCCACAGCAACACTAGAGCCAGCCCCCTCTCTCTCCCTTGAACAACCTTGTCCCCTTCCTTATAATTAAGCCCTAAACACAAGTACAATTGCAAAGAAAAGGAACATAGTATCAGTAACAATGGGAAGAGTACCTTGCTGTGACAAAAATGGACTCAAGAAAGGTCCTTGGACCCCAGAAGAAGATCACAAGCTCATCAGTTTTATTCAACTTCATGGACCTGGCAACTGGCGGTCCCTCCCCAAAAATGCAGGTATATGTGAGAAAGTATTCTGTTTTCTTGAATCAAAGAAAATAACTATTTTCCATCTTAATATGATGATGATGATGGGGTTTTTTTTTTACTTATAACATAGCTAATTTAATTCAATTTTTACAGGGCTTCAAAGATGTGGAAAGAGCTGTCGCCTTCGTTGGACAAATTACCTGCGACCTGATATCAAGAGAGGAAGATTTTCATTTGAAGAAGAAGAGACTATAATTCAACTTCACAGTGTTTTGGGAAACAAGTAATTTTATATACGTTTTAATTCTTTTGATTTTTCTTGATTTTTTTCTTTGATAGCTTGTAGGATTAGTATACCTATGAATAATAATATAATTGTTGTCAAGATATTCATAATTTAATTTGAATATTACGCTAACAACTCTTGTTTTTTTCAATGTAAGGTGGTCAGCTATAGCAGCTCGTTTGCCAGGAAGAACTGACAATGAAATCAAGAATTACTGGAATACTCATATAAGAAAAAGGTTGCTTAGAAATGGAATTGATCCTGTGACTCATGCCCCGCGTCTTGATTTTCTTGACATATCCTCCATTTTAACTTCAGCTTTGCGCAACCCATCAACACTTCTCAATCTGTCAACCTTGGTGGGCAACACTCAAGCCCTACTAAATCCTAATATTTTAAGACTAGCCACCACTCTATCATCATTGAAACAAGAAAATTCGGAAAAGTTTTTGCAGAAACTACAAGAAAACCAGCTTCTCAACCCACTGTTACAAAACCAAGGTGTACCTGCATTATTATCACAACCTAGGCAGTTTCATAATCTAGTTCAACAAGTTACTGCCTGTACCACTGCTACTACATCTACTGGCGGGTTTATAGACCAAAAAACACAAGTCATGCAAGCAAACGTAGAAGGGTTTTCGTCGAATCCGACGAGCACTTTCAGCTGTCAAAATTCCCCAGAAAACTTCTTGCCTTCAAGTTTGAATGAGAGTTTGGTTTCACTGCCAAACTTTTATTGCAATAGTACTACTCCAGATCCTACATTTCCTGAACTTGGAGAGTGCTCAGGATTCCAATCAGCAAACAATGGATATCAGAACTTCAGCATCGACTCAGTTATATCAACGCCTTTAATGAGCCCGGATCCATTGAATTCACCATCAACTTATCTCAACAGCAGCAGTACTGAGGATGAGAGGGAGTGCTACAGCAGCTTGCTGAAGTTTGAAATTCCTGAGAGTTTGGACATTGATGATTTCCTGTAAATATATAATATCCTAAAATATGATAGATAATGTAAGGCTAGAGTGAGGTTTTTTGTTGTTTTTGTTTTGAATTCTCAGTATTTATGTTCATATATGCATACATATGAAATTTGTTATATTTTTTTTCTTTCAATCTCTTGAGTCATGTACATGAATTTCTCGTAATCTATAGATTTGTTTTGCCTCACTAAAGAAATATAAACCATCGTTCTTTAACCAGAAGAGCTAGTGATATTGGAGTGGTAGCTAGGCACATGGAAATATTCCTTAATTTGCAAGACAACTTGGATTTAAATCAGCCCACTTATCAGATAATTAATTTATAGACGAGCTAATTAATCGTTATCATTAATGTATGAAGAATTCATATAATCAATTTCAGGTTGATTAAAAACCAGAAACTTGAATTTTTGCTTGTGTTTCTAGCAGATAAAAAATATTAGGGCTCGAAGGCAAGATATGGAGGTGGATAACTTTGTTATTTAAAGGGGGTGAAAAGGAATTATAAGCAACCTAGGGTTGCCTCTAGCGACGTGACCAAGATCTGATCTCCTATGTAATGTTGAAATCCGCTAATAATCTTTATGATGGATCTCATATTTAAGTGAGAAATAGAGAATACAAAGTCGGATATATCTATATATAATATATTTAAAAATAAAAACAAAATATGAAATTATGATCATGTTTGTTATTTTTAATTTTTTAAAAGAAAAACATAGCAGATAATTTTATTTTATTTTTGTGTTTCAATAATTTTGAAAACATAAAGTGAAAGAGAATTGAAAATGATACTAAGCAATCTTTTTATCTAACCGGAGCTGCAGTTTTCTTCACTGTGTGGACTCGAGTGACATTCCTACCGATGTAATCCCGGCCACCGGCTTTTAAGTTACGTGGTGTAATTTCTTTCTTTCTTTTTGTACTTTTTATTCTTTATATATATATATATATATATATATATATATATATATATATATAAAATGTGCATGTAAGTATAAATTAGCTGGGATTTCCTAACGAGAACTTCTAGTCTTCGAACAAAGAGCAACTACACAAAAAATAAAAAATAAATCAGGTGGCTCTTTCAATTAATTTTCAAAATGAATTCGTCACTTGATTCGCAATCAAGATTTGATCAATTTCTTAATCTGGTTGTTATGATAAGTATATCTACCATCACCACTCAAATGGAAATTGAGTTGAAAATGGCAAATACATGTATGAATTAAGAAGCAAGGAACTTTCCTTTGAATTTTTCTCTTTGGAGATACAATATCATAGTCATTTCCTTGTCAATCCGCCTTTTTTTCTCCTTTGACCGCCGACGAAAAGAAATAGTTTCGTAAAGCACTCTCTCTTCGGACCAGAAGTGGTTCAAATTATGTGCTCCACAATGTCGCACCCGGATATGGTGGCATTGAAAATTTATTATATTTTTGAAAAAAATAGATTTTTAGTAATTTTTTTTAATGAAAATATTTTTTATTTAAAGAGACATCACCTAATATTACGATTATTAGAAATCCTAACTGATTAATAGAGATTTTATGATTAGAGATTGGTTACATAAAAAAAAAAAATATCACCCATTAAATGTCTATCTAAAGCAGACTGCATTGCTATTTTTATCATTAAATTGCTAATATTTTTTTTGTTTGGTTTATATTATGATTGTTTATGTGTAATATTTCTGATTCTGGCGCCAGTGAATATTCAACTATGGATATTTCCAACTCTGAAGTTGGTAAATATTACATAGGTATCAAAATAAATAAATTTAAATCATCATTTTTATTATATTCCTGACTCTGACGTCAGTGAACAAACAAGTAAAAATCAATTTATTTTTTATGCATACGCATTATTTTTATTTTTTACATAGCTAAATAAAAACAAAATAAAATAAATTTATATTAGTTTTTTTTTATTCTTGACTCTGGTGTCAGTGACTATACCAAATAAATTTATTTTATCTTATATTATATTATTTATTTATTTATTTTGCAAGCACATTTTTTTATTTTATATCACTTAATAAAATACCATGAAATGAATTTGAATTGATATTTTTATTCTGACTCTGACATTAATGAATAAAGAAAAAAACAATAAATTTTTATTTATAATTTTTTTATATACACAATTTTTATTCTATATTTTTTATATATTTCTTTTATATTTTTGGACTGGACTCAGCTCAGTCCATGGGCTGAGTTAAGCAACACGTATGCGCTCGCACACGCATGCGCTAGCACACGCATGTTGCTACACTGCAAGTGAATTAATTCACTTGCACAACGTAAAAGGTCTCTTAATTGTGATAACAAAAGAAGAGGAAACAGGTACTTGTTCTGTTAGAGGTGCTGGAGATGATGAAGCTCGGGCTGGAATGACTATTGGTGATTTTCGCCCTTTCCTTTTGTTTTCTTGGAAACGAGAACGAAGATGCTAGCTTCTGTGGGTGCCGACTTTTTTTGGGTCGTTTTCTACAGGGATGAAGGCAATGGCAGTTGATTCCTCTCTTTGTGTAAATTTTGTATGCTCTGTTTTACTCTGGTTTTTTTTACTCGGTCTTTACTATGTTTTTGGGTCTTTTTTCTTTCTTTTGCTCTGTTTTTCTGGGTTAATTTTCTATTCTCGGGTTCATTTTTTTTCTTTCCCTCTGTTTTTCTGGGTTAATTCTTTGTTCTCGAGGGTTAATTCTTTGTTCTCGGGTTCATTCTTTTTTTTTTTCCTTTCCCTCTGAAATCTGTATTTATAGTGTCAAAGTCCCTTCGCGTGTGAGAAACCAAGTTTCAATCAAACTCATTCTCTTTTTTGAAGTTTGAATTTGATTAAGAATCAAATTTAAAAGCAGATAACTATTATTATCTTAAAGACTAGGATTATCTCGAAAATAAAAATTATCTTGAAAATAAAGATTATCTTGAAGATAAAGATAAAATAATAAAAGTACATTGTAGTTCTTAATTTTCACGGAAGTTGAGAAATCATACTTTTCATCGAAATAAATCTCTGATTTTTTAATTTTTAATTTTAAACCTTGTAAAAATTAAATTAAAAATCAAAATGCTAAAATTGAGTTATGACACACAAAAAGTTATTATAACCTCCAAACTACAACACAAAAATGTGCATTCTTTTCTTCCCATATGTTACTCCAAGTTTTCTTAAAACATCAAAATAATTTGCTGAAAAATAAAAACCAAAAAGGAGCTGGATTGAGAAAATTTGTGTAAATTAAGGAATCAGAATTCCTTGATAGAGATGCTAATGTTTGTGCGTGTTTTATAGCTTGCAAGGGAACGTTTTGATATGAGAATCTACAGAAGAGTTTTCAGTGCTAATGAATTAGTGTCATAATGTTGAATCAGTTTTTCTTTTTTTGCAAGGAGAAAAGGAAGATTAGGAGTTTTGCTAAATATTTGGAGTTTGTGATTATGTGATCTTCTGCAATCCTTTTGTTTTTCTGCGATCTTCAAGCTTCATGTTTCCATTTATATCATTGACATGGAGGAAGCTTCAAATAAAATCTGTCTTCTTTTTTCCTCAATTCTTTGTGACGGCCATTGGAGAAAAGGGCATGAGTAATCATTGCTTCAATAATAGTTTGAACAGTTCAGCTGTATTTATTGCTGCAATAATTTCAAACACCATGTAGGTCTTCCACTAAAAGTCTAAAAGGGGAGTAGCCGGGACCAGAAAGCCACCTGGTTCTTACATCATGTGCTTTGAGTAACAAGCCTTCAAGAATCACACAAAGCATGACATAATTATTGTCCTAAAAATTAAAAAACAAATTATCATTTTTAGTAATTTATACAAGCTATTTATATAGTGATTTTCATAGCTCAATTATTATACAAAAATATTTGTAATTATACAAAAAATGGTAATGATTACCAAGTCAATTATTTTTGTTAAAGTGATAACATTTTTTTTTTATTGACCTGATCTAGTTTGAACTGATGAATAAAAACCTTCTTAGTATAAATTATAGTTGTAATTACTTTGTGAAGGTTTACGGTCAATTATAGTTATAATTATTTTAATAATGCCTCATAATTATAAATTTAGCAGTATAGCAGAGTCCAATATAGATGGGCCTTGGTCCATCCCAGTAAATTTACTTTTACTAATAGAAAGTAAACCCAAACTTTAATACAACCGCCCCCATTTTCTAAAGGCCCAACTCAGTTTGGGCTATTCTATATGCTTACACTATGAAACTAAGTGTCTGGGCGACGGTTTGGTTTCGTCTCCATAGCACAGAGTTTTATGCCGCCGAAGGCTTTGGCGACAGAGAAAGCAATCTAGTCGCCAATATTTCTGTTGGTCCTCTTTTGCTTTTATCTTCTCAACTTGTGCAGTTTAAAAATATAATAATTATTATTTTTTAAAATATTTTTATTTAAAAATATATTAAAATAATATATTTTAATTTTTTAAAAATTATTTTTAATATCGACATTTTAAAATGATCTAAAAATATTAAAAAAATTAATTTAAAGTAAAAAAAACTAAAAACTTTATTTATTTTAAAAATACTTTTAAAATACAAAAATAAATAATAACGCTAGTTTAATTTTTAGCTAAGATTGTTAGCAATGGATATTTGATAAGATTTGAGGCAACTGGTAAAGATAAACATGGATTGGAATTCAAAGAACAATGTTAATTTCAAGGTTGAGTGGAAATGAAATTCTCAAAAACAAAATTGTAACTATATATCTTTAGATTGTTTTATGGTGACTGTATTAATATCATAAAATGCATCGTACGTTGGTCAACTTTGTAGTAAAACTTCATGTTAATTAAGCTATATGAATTTTAAGCTATACAAATATTTAATTATTGTTCATTAAAGTTGATGATGTAGGCAGATTAGAAGAGTATGAAAGTTATAAACAGTTAGATGGAGATCTATAACCAATGAATCATACAGAAAACCTAATAAATTTATTTATAGGCTAATAAGGCAAAGCTAATAATAATAAAAAAGGCATGTTCGTGCTAAACCAATAGTTAATTTGCTTTGTTAGCAATTGTTTCTTTTTTTTAGCTAATTATGCCGTCATTAAGCAGCCAGAGTTTAGAACGAAACTCATATTTGAATTACCAAGTGAT